TTTTGCCTTCCTCTTTTGAATTATTCAGGGTCTAAATCAAAATTGTTTTAGTCTTCGCTTTTAGACCTCAGAATTAATGAAATTGAGATGTCTGAATATAGATCTTGTTTAGAATACGATCAACACCTTACACGTGATCACAACAAGCTACCGGCGATTTATCATTCATCTGCCCCTTTCATGATTCTTCATAGTTAATATTTTAATTTTACGAAGTCATACATTCTTTCGACGCGTTTACACAACGCCAATAACATGATGAACTTGGTTGCAAGGCGACCAACTTCACGGCATTATCATGGCCACCAATAAAAACTTTTTGACATTTTTTTTTTTATTTAATTAGGATTGCCAACTGAACATTACACTCACATTACAGAATAATGGACACAGATAAAGTTGATACGAAACTTAACACACAAGTGGATGTTCATCTATGAGCGAACACAACATGCACAAAAACACTCTCAACAGCTACAAACATTATCTATAATTAGACCGTAATCTAATGTGAACTTAACATTTAATGTCTTTTGCGCAAACAAAGAGTACTGACTGGTACATTGCATAAAAATTTTAGTTATTTTTCTTTCGTACCTAAATATAGTTTTAGAAATTCATCCCAATTACTTTAAACATATTATGTATCGTATAATACACAACGTATTACATATAATCTAAACATGTAATTTTATAAGGAGCCAATATTCTTTCTAAAACAAAAATATAAATCTTATGTTATATTCGACCAATTCTCCGTTAGAATGTCTTTCAAAAGAAAAAGCGAATTTTCTTTCATAGTTTGTAGCGGGCCTCGCTCATAATGATATTAATACAATTTACGGATTAGGCTTTCTCGGGTTCTTTACATAGAGAAGGCTCTAAGGATTTCAATGCGATATACCTACGTGATGCGAGATAATTATGTCCTTGGAAATTTTACACAGAAATTTTCTTGGTTTGAAGACATTTTAATATACAATGGAAACTATTTAAATTATATATGATACTGATTATTGGTACAGCTGTAAAGCTATAATCGCAAGCTATTTCGTTTGGCATCAATAGTTGCATCGCCACTCCTGAAGAAATAGTAGAACAGACCCCAAAACAAACGGCGGCGGATCGTATCACGATCATTTACACGTTTATTTTTTTACTTTTTTTTCGATTCCGGCGAAATTACGCTTGCTTTCTTTATTTTTTATTTTTTGTCGATTTGTTATTTTGTTATTTTTTCCCGTCTGTTTTGGGGCCGCCCGATTACCGACCAAGCTATTACAACATTTTTTTTGCGGCGAAATTTACCGTCATATTCGAATGATCCCCCGAATCTACGCAAATACTAAATTTCATGAAAATCGCTGGAGCCGTTTCCGAGATTCCGATTATATATATACATATATATCTATATATATATATATATATTCTTGTATGTATATATATATATATACATACAAGAATTGCTCGTTTAAAGGATAAGATAAAAGTAAAGCTGAAGGTGCTTATAACTAGAGTCGGTCGAACTTATTTCGGTCGCGCGTAGAACACTTGACTATCATCGCGTTGGAACTCATAAATAATGACAGGCAGGCCCGAACTTCGCATAAGGTGGAGTTAACATAGGCAGATATCGAATTGAAAAACCTTACGTGATCAGAATATAGAGGTATTGTGAGCGGCCCGTCGTGAAAGTTTTTTCATAGATGGCGGTTTTCTTCGAAGTAATTTTGCTAAACGGTGCGCTGGTTATGCCCTGCAATACGTACGAAGAATTTTATGATAGGATGATCATTCTTCTTACCCATCGCCTTAAACAACTACGTAATTTACTCAATATATGCTATAATAGACTTTCTTACATCGGACGTAATTATAGCCTCGAACAATATTCAATGTGCGTGGACATTCTATGCTGTTAGAAAACCTTCCTGGCGTAAAATTGAATGTACAATTTTACCTACTGTTCAAAGGTCTTCGTAATATTGAATTTCACATGTACAATGCAATGTAATGACGCATCATGTCGAAAAGTGACTAGATTGCGCTAACCAATTTGTAAATCACGCCAGAGGAGTGTAGTTCAAGATAGCTTAATTATTATTTTGGGTAAAATAAATGTGTGCAGATCCAGTATTCAGTTCAAGTGGATAGCTTAAGTGCTCAGTTCGTACTCGTAGATTATATAGGCCAAACACCTAACCTCGTTTAACACACATTTTTGTAAATTGATAATAATGTTAAAACTGCGTAATTCTTGTCAATGAGTAGCTATTTATTATTTATTTAAAAACTGACACATTAATCTTCTAGATGTGCTTCTGTCGATTTCGGTACATGGCGCTGTATTTTGAAATTGTAACTCATTAAGCATTTCTTTATAACTATTATTGTAATTTTCTGACCCACCCTTACCAGTTAGTCGTTAAACGTCAACCAGTATACTTATCGCTTATTAATAAACACGATAATTGCCTAAATATCAGCAAATAAAGAAACTTAAACTAAAAGTCACATCTACCGAAGAAGTGACTGAAACGGTTAACCAACAAAGCCAGGGAGAGGCTCGTGTTGAAAGCCAGTCTGCTGTGCCCTGAGTTTACCGGAGTTACCAGGAGACTGGTAGCTCTAACCGAAGACGCGGATCCGGCAGAAAGAGATGGACATCAGAGAGTGATGAGCGTCAATGGCGGTTTATTTTATTCAATACTTGTATACTTTTTCCACTCACAATTCCATCCGTATATATGATAAATAGATATTTGTTAGCAATGGCGGATTTGTAGTCTTGACCGCTCTAAGTTCCAGTACCAGCCGCCCCTTTCTCGGAGCCCATCATACATCTTGTTATCAATAGTGAATTTATTGTCGTGATTGGCCGTTCCACACCATAATTAAAAGTCCCATGAAACCATAATGTCAAGCGACGCATTCCGTGTCAAGGGGCTATCCTCGTAAGAACAGAACATCCGGTACCGTTGGCAACAACAGAGGTTCTGACCCGAATACAAGAACATACGAAGGAAACTTCCAGGAGGCACGCGACAGACACGCGTTTGTACCCTTCCCTTCCTTGCAACATTAGAACCAGTTTCGTTAATCTCTGTTAGTGCATTTAATGTTATGTCAAATGTCTTTACATGATGGACACAATCCACAATTGTAAAATGTATTTACAAGAACTTGATGGAAATAATGCACAATGCGCTAACGGTTTATTTCATTGTCGTCCTATAGATATTTTTATGCGATAAAGTGACAAACGAGCTGGCGGTCCACCTGATGTCAAGTGATAACCGCCGCGCATGGTCTTTTGCAACACCCGTAGGGTTGCAAATGCGTTGCCACCTTTAAATAAAGTGGGCCCCGGCTAACTCACTCACCAGACGAAACGCAGAAGTGTAACACCTCTGCTCCTCTGATTTAAACACTTCTATAAAATTCCGTTAAATACGTAACCGAACATCATTAGTTTTGTATCAAAATCATCCCCCTGCCCTAATCTGGTCTGCACAGCATGTGAATCATGTTGTAAGCGGTTTTCGTTCTGTACAAACTGCCTAACGTCAACCCTCCTAGGGAAATACACACCCAGATCCGGAACCATTATGTGTGGGTCACACAAATACTTGTCCTGTGTGGAAATCGAACCCATAACCTCCGACGCCGTAGCCGTAGCTTAGCAACGGCGCCGCGTCTTCTTTACATGGCTCGGTGACATTAGTTTCTGTCAACGCGACTGATAAATGATGGCTCGAAATTCGGTATTCAAATATTTTCTATTTGGCAGCATTACTTGATAAACAAACATAGTAGTGTTGAATGGCTTAGATTTCATAGAATTAAAAAGGTGACATTTTGTTTCGGTTTCGGTTCCGTTTTATATATTGTGTGAATAATAAAATGTCACTATATTCATTCCTTTAATGTCTGATTAACCAGGGGTTTGCTTTTAAAAGCTTTGTTAATTAGAAAAATTGATTAACATATGCGATGTTATCTATCTATTTTTAAACATGAAAACTGGCTTAAAGTTAACTTTGTCAGCAGCTTCACTTACACCGTGTTGTCATATATTACTAAATACAATATAATATACTAAATACACCTTTTTATTTCCTTTGCGACAACTTCTTTTTGTTTTAAAAGTTTATGTATAATAACTTTTACCATTTTCGAATTACTAATGTGCAAAAATGTATATTGCGATGGGCATACAAAACACATTATATAAATTGTAAACACTAATAAATAATAACGCCTGCATCAAATCGGAGATACATGGAAGACATCTAAAGACATTTGAGAAACATTATCTAATATTAAAGTGGTGAATAATGCAGCCCGTTGCCGGGCCAGGAATATAAAAGTAGTTTAATGCACCGTCATTTTCCCACATGATCGTTTAGCGCTTCGCTTTCGTTCGCCATTATTCATCGTCCGAACGTGGTATCGTCACGCTCGTAATATGCGGGCACAGGTCTAAGTGGAACGCTGAGCGCGGACGAGGGAATAGCAACCTTAAAACAGAGCAGCAGAGCTAAAATTGGGCAGACGGGATTACGAGTGCAGTGGCGCGCTGGGGGCGGGCGCAGTGCGCATGCCGACCCGCCAGAGACATAGATGCGTCGCACATAAAACTATGCCAGAACGGTGAGTGCATGTCCCAATAACTAAAATGGCGTTAACACCCTCCTAAGCTGTAGTCCACTACCTTCTTTAGCGTTCTATCTAGCACCCTTTCGCCGTCTCTTCGGGGATCCTTGACCGCATGACCTTTACACCTCGCTAATCGATGTAATCACTGTAAAATTTGTAAGTTCGCTCGAACTCAGCGCCTGCCTTTACTATCGTCCTAAATGAACGAGACACTTAACTCTTTACTCGCACCGTCTTCCCTATAAGCATAGCTGTTAATCACTCGTGTTTACGAGGCACCAGTGTGAGTGGCAAATGTTATACATCGGCAACTGAGGTCGCGATAGCTGTGAAAAGACTCACCGCTCCTCGAAGCGGATGCTGGAACGGCTGATGTCGCTCCAGGCGCTCATCGAGCGTCCGCGGCCCCGGCGGAAGGAAGTGAACGTGGCGGTGGGCCTCCGCTCGCGCTCGACGTCCGGCGGGAAGTTGACCTTGGCGGAGCCGCGCGAGGAGGGCCCCTCGGCCGACTCGCCGCCGCCCGAGGTCTCCATCTCGAAGGCCGTGTACTCTGGGCCGTCGTCGGGGTCGGCGTCGCTGCACTCGCTGCCCGCCGACAGGGCCTCATAGCCGTAGCCGGGGCGGGCGGCGGCGGGCCCTGGCCCTGGGGCGGGGCCCCCGCGCCCCCCTCCGCCGCCGTCGCCCGCGGCCAGCCTCGGCGAGGCCCCGCGCCCGAACGGCCTGCCCGCGGGCCCGCGCGCCGCCGCCGAGCCGCGCGCGGCGCGCTTCGTGTGCCGTAGCTTGCTGTGGCGGAACGTCGCCGTGGTGCCGACCGTCTGCCGCCTACAAGGGCCCCCGCGGGAGCATCCCGAATACGAATACGAGAATCGGTCTTTCAACAACGGTCAGCGGCGCAGCGTCACAACAAATGGTCACGTGCTCGCGCTCAACGCAGGAGGGACGGGGCCGCGGAAACATAGCCCGCGGCGGGCCGTGCGACCAGGCCGGTGTGCCAGTGCGGTTGACGGGCACGGCCAAACAAATGCGTATAGATACTATGTTCAGCTCGGGCTGCTGCGTGAAGTGAGCGCGGCACCGAGCGGCTTGAAGTGAGAGGCGGGGCGGGGCGGATCGATGTACCACGCTACCCTACGTTAGTACGCAGTTCTCCCGCGGCGCCTCTGTCCCCTGCCCCGCCGCTTTTTGAGACGCAATCGCGTTTTGAGAGCCAACGGCTGCGCCCACCGCGCTGCTCGCAGCTGTAGCTACGGGCCCGTGCCGTCAGCCACCCGGCGACGTAATACAACAGGCGGATGCGGTCGGAGCGTTGCTAAATCTGAAAAGCAACATGTTGTTACGTCAGCCAATCAATGCGGCCGAAATAGGGGTGGCCATTCTAAACGCTTGGCGGGACCTCGAAACTTGATAATGTTATCGAAGACTTTAGCATAATTCGATTCATTATCGTTCTTTTATTACACATATGTATTAATATTTTTTAATTATAATGTAAATAGTTATTAATAATATTTTATTTATTATTATTTTTAAATAATATTTTTTTTTACTTATTTTATCCATATAAGAAAAATATATTAAAATTTGCAACATGTTACGTAGATTTTTATTAGTTTACCTATAACAATTCCTTGATTTGTACTTTCATTGGTTGCAATAAAAATAACACCTAATAACATTAATCAACCTATTCCTTTTCAAATGTAACAGAATGACATCAGTAGCGACATCTATTGGTGTTCAACGGAAACAAATGACGATGGTACTGTCTAGTTTAATTCCATTGTTACTAACAGTGATAGTCTTTTTATCGGCCAGCTTGGATTCGTGCAAAAAATACGATGAGCCTGTATTTGGGGTTATTCTATAGAAGCAAAATATTTTTTTTTTTTAGGTAAAAGAATGTCCATAACATTTTTTCATAATTTCTTTCTTTGACCTTAGACATCGGCTTGTTTATAAAACGAGCTCAATTCAACCGATAAATAGTCGACATTTGCTACAAACGTCGTACATTCAAAATTATCATTTTATTTATAGTACAAACTAAACTTCACTGGCTGCGGGATTTTCCAAAATAGTAAGTTATACAGAAGATAGAATGTTCTCGAGATAATTATTTCGTAACAAACCGAAAAGCTCAAAGTTTGCTTTGCTTGCTTTAAAAATTAAACTACAATGACCTCAGTAGAGGGCCAACAACATTAAAATATGATTACTCCGCCATCTATCGAAAAACATGTTATTTAGTAAGCGATACTACGACATGGGAAGAAGAAATTTTGTTTCCGAGTGTAATATTTTTAGAAGAGTGCACTAACGTTTTCGAAAACATACCGTTATTTAAGTCATTGAAAATACAATGTCCTGAGAAAAAAAGTCAATGGACGTCATCGAACAGTTTACTCGATTCTCCACACCGACTCGAGCAATGAATTCAAATAGAAATTTTCAAACACACATTAAATATTTGTTCGATTTGTCTTCGCCTAAAAGAGTCTACAGTTCAACTATTAATATCAATATGCCCTTATGTATTATATTTGGGCGAGCGAAGCGAGACCTAGCACTATTCGACAATCTGCTTCTCAAAAATACTTTTGTGGTACACTTTACGGAGAAACTATCAGGTTTATAGATTTATGCCTTAACACAGTAATTTAACTTCATATCTAGATGCGTTATCTACCCAAAAAAATTGTTATTTGTTTTTTTTATATTTAATGGATACAATGTTATTGTACCACTAACGCCATCTGTTACAAAAGTAAAGAGTTAATCATCGGCAACTGTTAAGGCAGCTTTGATATATCACAAAAGTAATAATCCTTGGTGTATCGTGATATTACAATCAATGAAAATAATTCACAATGCGTACCTGATAATGAGAGTATTTTCCAAAAAAAAATATCGAAGTAATAAATCTTATTAATCTTAACTTTTTTATCGAGAAAAGGGACAAACGAGCATGAAGAAGGTTCACTTGATAGTAAGTGATTACCGCCACCTATGAACAACAGCAACACCGAGAGTTTATAAATGGGGGTAACGGTTCGGAAACACCGCCGGCAGGAGATGGTTCCACAGAGTGTTTGTGCGAGGCAGGAAATGCCTTGAAAATCGTGCTGTTGTGGAATGCTAGACATCGAGGTGGTCTAGATGAAATTTTTGGTTTTAATGTAATTTTTGGTATTAATCGAATGTTGAAAAAATTACGTCTACCAGTTGCCAGCTTATCATAATTGTTCTAAGCCAAAACTAGGCGCAAAACTATTAGTTGGCATTGAACCATATTATTTAATCGATTGGATGAAAAGTTATGTAACGTTCAATTAATTATTGAAAATGGGTTAGTCAATATGCTCCATAGGTTGTGTCGAAGATATAGTATATGAAGAAAATTATAGTTATCCTGATCAAATGCGTCGAGTGATAAAGGTTCGATTTGAAAATTATTCTCAATCAACTTTTAACAACAAGGGCTGTGTTCCAATATCATCAATATATCAGTAATGGAAAGTTGAAATATCAATTACTTGTTCAAGAAAACAATTCCTATTGCAATTAGCTTTCACTATTACAATACAAGAGTCACCAGGCCTAACATCATACATAAAGCTATAACATCTATTGGTCTTACATATGTCGCGTTTTCAAGAGCGAAAATACAAAAGGATTAGCACTTAACGATTTCCCTTTGATAAACGAAGTAATATTAAAATGATAATTAAAGAAAACTGTCATAAAAATTATTACCGTATGTTAGAAAAACTACGCGAGCCCTCACAAAGCTCAGCTTTTTGCTAGTTTTTAAAACTATACCACAACCGGAGCGTTTTTGTGGTACACTTTGTGAAAGTTCTCGGCCCCATGTTCACGGCGAGCGAACTCTCTCGAGTTCGCTGACCGGGGCCATGGGAACCAGGAGAGCTAGTGCTAATAAGCAGCAAGCCTCCCAGCACCCAGCGGCGGATCTGGTCTGTGGCTCAGCCGCTCACCACATTTCGGCCGCGGAGGGTATAGAGAACGGCGCACCGCAATACCGACACTCTTCTTATTCCGCAACCCCTCCTCGGTAGCAGAATACAGGGAGAGTGGTTCCTCCTCCACCACCCTCGACCTGTCCCCTGCACCCTCCAGCATGCATTAAGAGTGGGCGCAATGAGCCCACTCGGAGCGACCCTCTAGGCCGGTCTTACACCACAGGCCGGCCCAGTGTAGGTTCCTCTTAGCTTCGCTGAGGGTGACCAAGCCACGCTACACAACACGTGGCGGAGGCCCGGTTGGAGGGGCTTGGTTACCCAGCGTGAAGCTAAGTGGAAACCAGACTGAGCCGGCCTGTGATGCAAGGATCGGTAGAGGGTGGTAGAAGAGGATCCACTCTCCCTGTCTTTTAATTCCGAGTAGGAGTTGCAGGGGGAGCTATTCTCCCCCCGCAATTGTCGGTATTGCGGTGTACCGTTCTACCAACCTTCCGCGGCCGAAATATGGTAAGCGGCGGAGCCACAGAGCAGGTCCGCCGCTGAGGGATGGGAGGCTAGCTGCTTACTGACTCTTCTGGCTCTCCTAGCAGCCGAGTAGGAAGGCGATGATTGAATGTTCCAGTGCGCCTTACCTACTGCCGATACTTGCCTACGTGGAACATCGTTGGGGTTTTAGTCGGTGCTAGGCCGACATAACCCGCTCTTGCCCCAACGAGGGCACGTATGCGTAGGCATTTGTTCCAGGTTAACAAAAAAAAAGTATATCGACTTAAAGGTGGTCAATATAAAGGTGAAAATTTGATTGAATATAATTGCTAAATCATCAATTTGCATCCAGAAAATGATAATTTAATTTTCAAAATGAAAATACCAATTAACAACCGAATGTCACAGAATTAATATAAGCACTAAACAATGTTCGATAAATAAAAAAAATATCTAAAATTATTGGTCGTATTAATTATTTACTTCGGTAAATATGATATTGAAGCTCATATCAGAAATAATAATTTTAAAAAACTGTTTTAAAAATTATTACCATTTAGAAACATTACGCGAGCCCTCACAAACCTCAGCTCTTTGCTAGTTTCTAATAAAGATTCTGTTTAGTGTCGCTTATGCAGTTAAATTGAAAAACAAAATAAACCATATGAAAAAATTATAAAGATAAATACAATCTTACTAAATTATAAAAAGCGCCATCTCGTAAGACCTCCGTGTTTTAAATACTATTTTCTAGCCTTGGTTACGTTTAATATTAATTTAATTATTTATAATTCTAAAGGATTTCTTTGGAGTACTTAAATTTAATTTACTATTACAACATGAATCATTTAATAACTTAACACAAAATTAAAATTCCATTATAACTTTGAATTTAATAATGATTGGTTAAACTTAACCAATTTCCACACAACATTTTCTTATAGATTTGACAGTTCGTATACTTAGTACCTAATAAAAATAGGGCACTGTACTTTAATAGCTGAATGTCACAAATAAATTATGTATGTACCTAGTTAAAAACCACGATTATAAGCGATACTAAAATAAGTATATTTAATTCAATTATTTAATTGTAGTTAGTTATATTCGTTTTCTCACATTCCAGCCAGGCGAGAACAAATATAAAAAAAACATAACTTCAATTACGTACGTAATACATGACTAATACGTAATACGTTACATTGAGTTGTAACAAATAGTAACTTACATAATTTTTATGCCTGTTTTGAACAATATAATAAGCCAATGCCTATATCATGTAATAAACTATTATATCCATTGGAGGACCTACCTTATACAGTGTCCTGAACTATTCTTACACAAAAACTGGCCAATGCTTGACTACCATCTCACTGAACTACATCAAGTCTAAGACGAAGGATTATCTCTTTGTATTATTCCAGTACCCCATCTGAGTAATTCATTACCGTAAATAAAAAAAATACTTATTCGATGGTCTAAATATATATTTTAAAAATATTTGACGTCAAGGTGCACTATAATATAATAATCAAATGAAACCAAATCATTTATTGATGGAAATAAGAAACATGCATTTTATCTATTCATAGTAAGTTTATAAATCTGTATAATCCACGTTTTTGAAATGAGGTTTCTCTAACGGAGAAGAAACAGGCCAAAACCACTCCATAGGTAACTTCTCTTTCTTCATCAAAATATTAATTATTCATACATTTTTTTAAATACCTTGGGATCGATCAACTAATTCCCAGAAGCACCAGTATTTTATGATTTATAATTTTTATTCTGACTAGCCTTTGGAAATGTTTATTAATTATCGATGGTCGACTGTCCACAGAAGTGCGTGGCCCGCAAGCATAACTATCTGACACGCGCCTGAAATTTATTCCAAAAGTTTTCATAGGGGCGCATCCCTAATTCGAACAAGGGACCTTTAACAACATCTTATTGTAAATTGTAATCTTAAATGCCAGCAAATACTTATAAGTGTAAAAGAATGCCTATTCGTTCCACATAACTTCTATGACCCACCAACATAATAGTCAATAGGCAATCTACGTACAGTCACCTCTATACAGTCTTCCAAATCGGCCATACTTCTGGTAATGAAGGGCGCGACTCAGCTACAGGTAATACAGGACCGTAAAACCGCCAATCGGAGGCTTGCGAGTGAAATGGTTCATGTCGGCCTGTGGTCAATTCGGATAGACTATACGTACGTATTCGCGATGCAATCACCGTAAAGAGGCGCAAATCAATGGAGCCTTTGTAGAAGTTGATTGCGCTGTCTGGTGCATGATGCGCGTCGATTGAAAACTCACCTAACAATCGCTCATTCGTGATCTGCCTGTGACATCTTATTAAACATCAAATCCAACGGAGAATGCATTGTAATCGCTAATACTTCTATAGTCTGTACGCCCCGGCGGTTTGATGGGAAATGGCGGCATCTCGTTCGTATTATCGTTGTGAAACGATATTAGAAATTGCCTGTGTGCTGTAAAGGATAAAACGATAAATGTGCAAATCGTTGCTTAAATGCAAAAAAACAATGTACATAAAGAAACGCTGAGATTTTCATCGATGGTGTAATTAGCCATTTAGCTTGGTGGTTAAAGCGTCTGGACGCGAATCCCGAAGATGTGGATACGATTCCACGTTTTTGTCGTCCATTTTTTCTACAAACTTTAAGAAAATTATATAGTATGCAGGTAAAATTAAAACAACATGTTACAATGTCAGGAATAAATTTTAGGCATTTAAGGTTTTTTAGCGAACCGTAAGTTTGTTGTTAGCGTGTAACATCCCAACCTAGATCCTCGAGGGAATTTTTTATTCGGGTTCGCTCCGGCTGACCTAATCAGAGTTATTGAGACCACAGGGTGAGACAGACAAGTCCGGTACTCCCCTATGCTCTGCGTGGCCGAGGAACTTCAGCTGGCTAAGCGTTTGCCAACAGGATATAAGTCACGAAGACGTCTTGAATCTCGCGTCAGGTGATGCTGCATACCGGAATCCATTGGTTGTAACTTGGACCCCAATATGGGATAACGTTATTATTAAGTAAAGACTTACTCCAAAAGTGTTTTCTAATATTGTAGTACAACGGTTTGAGGTACTTTAACGTACTGTGTTTTTTTTTTTAAAGTAAAAGGTGCTAACGAAAATATTTTCATGTTGCGCAACCCGAGCCGTATCCCTTCTATCGTACAATGGCCTGACCGGATTCAAAATCAAGCGCACTCATTCATAAGGCACACGACCGGAGAACCTATGAACTCGGCACTATGGTTTACGCTCCTTTACTAAAATTATATACGTAACTATTACGTTACATACAAAACAATGCATATTTATGCGATAGCAGCAATCACGGTTGATTTCCTGTCATATTTCGAAGAGTTCCTTTGCTATCTCCGAAAATAATAATCAGAACTATGTGAAATTTATATAGGACCATTTCGGAATGAAACCCTTTCGAACAAAAAAGAATTCTGTAAATCCGTCTATATATGACGAAGTTATGCTTGAACATACAAAAAAATATATAAACATCCGAATTGATAACCTCCTTCTTTTGGAAGTCGGTTAAAACTCGATTTCACATGCTTGGTACATTATGAAGTATTTAGAAAATCAAGAAAGCTTATTGTATTTTTTTTTCATACATTAAAATATTTATACAAATTGTTCATTATTAGCTACGTTCAATTTATAGTTGATAATTGGTAAAATCTACCTAAATAGAACTTTCGGAATAGTAACAGTTGCTCTTTTGTAGAGCATTATCTCTTTTTTTTTCTCCCCCTAGTCAGAACTCGTATTAGCTTCAGTTAGTGACTGCTTCGCTTAACTCATAAAGTAATACGAGTGCCATCTGGCATATTATTTTAGTCAACCGGCGTTGTCAGCGACATATATATATATATATATATATATAGCATTCATTGGTTGAAATCTTTACTTCAGTACCTACTTATTAAGAAGAATTATTGTATCTCGTGAATGTGATATTTGTTCAAATACATGCTTTAAAGGGCCAGCAATATCTAGCGCTCGCGCGCTTTTCTGATTCACGTGCAACATTATATTTTAATGTAACCACTAAATTTTAATGTAAATTCGTTGCGCGCGTGATAGATTATTTAAGAATTTACATATAATAATTAATAAAAAATATATTGTTATATTATTGTAATATTTGAAAGTAAAATAAATTATATTTTATAAGAATTGCTTTTTTTTGCAACCTCTGGCTGGAGCCCACGTAATTAGTGAATTAAATAATCATCAACAATTAACAGTTAATTATTTAATTCACTTATAAAATGAATGTACTTCTACTTCAATATTTAAAAAATAATGTTGATGAATAAATAAGACTTGGAGTGTTCTAGTCGTATCTTCAATAGTTTATAAGTAATTTTAATAGCGATGGAGAATACCTGATAGGTAACAACAAGTCCAAGTATACAATAATTTTAAAAACTATATAAAAACGGAAAAATAATAAACAAAATTTTTCACAATT